GTACATAACAAAATTAAAAGAAAAAAAATGAATATAACGAAACATAATTTTTTTTATAAAAAAAAGACAATGATTATGATTTATATTAATTATAAAAATTATAAAATAATTTGAAGGTGGAGAACAATTATAATAAGTTGATGAAAACAATCGAGAAAAAACAGTAACACAAAAGATAACAAATAGTTTTGAAATAATAAAATTAAATTGAGGATATTTTAGTAAATATAATAATTTTTAAATATCAAAACTCATATTCCCTCCCCTCCCCTCCAAATCCCCCCAATTCGGAGGGAACCAAAAAGTGTGTTTTGGAGGGATTTTGCTCCCCTCCCCTCCCCTCCCCTCCCCTCCTAAAATTTGAACCAAACATATTTAATTAAAATTTCCCCTCCCCTCCCCTCCCCTCCCCTCCATCTACCCCGAACCAAACACACCCTAAAGTGGGAGGTGGTTTGCAGGGCAAAAGATAGAGGAGGGCTAGGAATGAAAAGTCTTGAAGAGTTAAATCTTACTCCCTTTGGAAGTCTGTTCTAAAGGCGAGATACGGTTGCATTGAAGATGCAGTTTTGTCGGTGAAGAAAGGAAACAACCAATCCGCTTCTTATTGGTGGAAAGATCTCTTACGTAGTGGTTTTTCAACTGCTTTGTTTGATTTTAATTTTGCAGGAACTGTCGATTTTAAGCTGGGAAGTGGCACAACAATGTCTTTTAGGTATGTTGCCTGGGCTTCTCAGCAATATTTACCTGTGCTTTTTTCTGATCTGTTTGCTATTAGTAGCAAGAAAATTGCGTTGGTTTCATCGATGGGAAATTGGTTTGCTGATACTTGGTTGTGGGGCGATTTGGGGATTGATGTTCATATGCATGTTGTTGTCGTTGATAGGTTAGCCTGCTTGAAGGATTTTCTATCAAGGTTTAATCTTGCTAAGGAGGTTCCAAACAATGTCTATTGTAGTTTTGATGATTATGGAGTTTTCTCTGTCACTGCAGCGTATCAGCTTATGGTGAAAAGCAGGAATTTTGATTTTGTTTCGATCAATCATCATAATTTGTCTCGTTGGTTAAGGAAAATAAAAGTTCCTGCGAGAATATTGTTGTTTGTTTGGAAGCTGTTCTAGAATAGACTAACCTCTAAAGATCATCTAATTAGGAGAGGTTTAGTTAACTTAGACCCAAAGTGTGTGTTTTGCAATTTCGAAGATGAAGGTACGATACATCTTTTTTTGGGTGTAATGTTGCTATGGAAATTTGGGACAGAATTGCTGCTTGGTGCGGGTGCAATACTGCTTTTGCGGGCTGCATGTGGAATTTTTTTTTTTTTTTTGGAGTGAGGAGGAGTATGTAATTTTAAGGTTGGGAATTGTAAGTTGGGGTCATATGGCTGGCTGTGGTGTGGTGTCTTTGAAAGGAAAGGAATAATTTAATCTTTAGGGGCGAGACTATTAATGTTAATGACATCTGTTATAACATTAAGATTCTTGCTTGGAAATGGGCTTGCAGCGAGGACATTCCTTATTCCAACTCTAGTTTCCATGCTTTTTGTATGGAACCTTTGTAGGTTTGTTTAGTGTTGGTTGAGAATATCTTTGAGAATTTCTTATCTCACCCCTTGGCCTTCTTAGGCACCATGCCCTCTGCCTAAAATACCCCCTGATTCAGGAGATGTATCTCCGGACACACCTTTTTTCAACTTTTTTTAATTAATTCTGTAGATGCATCTACGAAATATTTTCGTATGCGTATTTACGGAAGAAAACCAGAAACAGAATACCAGAAAAGCAACATTGCAACGATAAAATCAACATTCATGAAATAAAATCGACGTTACATTGATGATTTCGACATAAATTTAAATACTACATTTCAATAGTCCGGTGGACGCTTGCACATCTCTAATATTCCACTTTTTGGTATTCAACATGTAACAACGAATCTTAAAAGGACATTCACATTTTCTACTAACGGTGTCGTCTCTTTCAAACTTCCGTAGAGGAGTCTGATATTTTCCGTTTCTTTCGCACAACAAAGTTACATAAGCGTTTCTTCTTTCTGGACCATTATCCGATCTTCCTATAACCACACCAAAACCAAGTCTACTTGCAGTCCTACGAATCCATGTGAGCATGCTATCACGATCATCAAACTTTTGTTTGTTATTAAAGTCAACAACGACATCTACCGACTTTACGACAACCCCTTGAACATTCGGAGAAACATAGTTTGTAGAAACTAATTCTTTTAAGATATTATTGGGGTGCACCATATCTATTTGTAAACAATAAAAAAATAAACAAAAATTACAAATTTGCTGTAAAAAAACAGGCCACAGACACGTTCCAGAGGTACAACTCCGGAAGCAACGTTACTTTTTTTCTCTCCAAAAGTTTGATGATTAATGAGAGCAATGTAGTGGACAAACTGCAATCTTTACCTGAAATTCGATTTTCTCTTGCTCCCTTTGATTTGTTGCATGAAAAAGTTGGAGTTTTGGAGTGATAAATGATATTGAGAATGTAGAATTTTTTAGGTTGGTGAAAGTGAGCATGGAAGAAGAAAACACAACAATGGGGGGTGGGGGAGTGATCATGCAGGTTTCAAATATAACAGAAACTTCTGAAGCTGTATCTACGAAACAATTTAGCGCTTAGACGTTCCAGATGTGCATCTACGAAAATTTTCCTGAACTTATTTTGAAGTTTTTTCCAGGGTTTACTAGTTTAAAATTATTCCGTAGATATAACTCCGGAAAAAACCAAATTTTGGTATAAAAAAATAAAATAAAGGTGCATCTGGATATGTATCTCCGAAAAAAAACATAAAAAAAATGCACTAAATACTTAAGAGTATCTAAAAGTGGATTAAAAAATTCGCATATATTCTTACTTTTAAGAATTATTTTGAGTTGGAATACTTCCGGTCGCTTTTAGAGAAAAAAAACAATTGATAACTCTCCAAACAAAAAAAATAAAAAACTATCTAATGTTCATCATAGACAATACTAGAAATAAAGAAAAAAAGTTGTGACTCAAAATTTTGATTATAAGCCTGGCTAAAATTAAATTTAATATTATAAATAAATAAATTATTATAAATAATAAATAAAAAAAACACTTTTTAGTAGCATATTAGACGGCACTCGAAAATTTGGTAATAAGCGTTCATAAAGTTGATTTTAATATTATAAAGAGAGTTTAATTTAAAAAATAAAAAAAGAGTCGTCTTCCTCCCTCACGCGTAACTAAACCTTTACTCCTCCTCCACCAGCGGCGTTGATTCAAGAAAGACACCGCGTTGATTGAAGTCTTCGTTTTAGTTCTGTCCAGGTTTCAAATTATTGTACTCTTTTTAACCCTAATTTATAAATTGAATTTCTTGGTAGTGTTTTAGCATTTAGGTGTTCGGTATTGTTATGGATTCTTGTTGTTTGGCTTTTAAGTACAAAATAGGTTTCACATTCTTTTCAAAATAGTTACTCATTATCCTTTATGAAACCGAGAAGGAAAATAGTTGAATTGAATTAAATGTACTCAGGTAAACAAGTGTAGGAAGAGACTGTGTTATCACATTTTGAATGCGTAACTTTTAGTAGTACTTTCATACTCTTTATCTCCTCCTTAATTATTATTGATTTCAATGCTTGCATATTTAATGCCAGTTTTCTCCAATCTAGCATATGTAGTTTGCTTATGGTTTTATTCGGTGCATACCGCGTTCCACTTAACGAGTTGTTTATTCGAAAGATCATTTCAATTAAGTTAAAGATGTCGTCAAACCATCTTTAAAAACTGATGCACTGCAGTCAAAGAAACTAGTTGCAACATTTCATGTTAATTAGAAAATAGGAAGCAGCTGCTCAACAAAAGGAAGAACCTGTTTCATAATGGGAGTGCTAACATTTTCTAATTGTTTTAAAGTCATCTCCGCCTGCAACTGTTTCATGAATCAAGGATTGGTCATGTAAAGAAGTAAAGCAAGGCAACCTGACTCGTGGAAAAATACTAATATTAGAGTGGTTAAAACTTAAAAGTTAGAAATTATATTAGGCATCAGTATGTGAAACTAAATATCAATATTTTACCCGAAGTCATACAATATATCAAATCATGTGCATTGGAATTTGGAATTGAAACATCAATATGGTTGGTTACCCTTGATGTGTGTTGTGCACTGCATATCCCTGCAATGCTGATGAATATTTTACTTGTCACAGAGTTATTAACTGTGAAATAATTAAAAGGATGTATCATTTTCTATATCTGATGGTTCATGCATGTAAACATCATATATGCTATTAGATAATAGAAATATAGATGCGATTCTCCACAAATTGAGCAATGAACAGTATTCACTTGACAATTATACGAGGACAAACTGAAAAGACAAATGTTAAGGTTTTTATCATGATGACTAGTTTGATAGATCAGTATATATATGTCCTACCTCTTTATCATGCCTTCAACTTTCTGAACCATAATTTTTTTATTGTTCTAGCATATTGTTAAGCATTGAAACATGATTCGCTAATGACAGAATAGGATAAAAGATAGTACATAAATGTCTGTGAAAATATGAAAGCATTAATACACCTAATGAAAGGGTCATAAGAGTTTATAAAAGAAAGAAGTTTGGGAAACAATAAATAGGCCTCCGGTAGTATAGTTTGAGACGGTTGGCTTAGAAGACGACGACACGCGGCAGGGGTGGTCTTTCCTGTTGACTTAGAAGATGACTATGTAGCTAGGAAGATGAAGATACAAGTTTTTGTGTTGTGGTTTCATGTTTTCATTTTGTTGGAAAATTTAATAGGATATGTGGTATCATGTGAACCATAAGATTGATCAAATGACTGAAAGGCAGGGTGCAGTTGGTATCATAAAGTCAGGCAATCCGAGTCCAAGTTTTTTTCCTGTCTTTTGTCCTTACCTCTTTGATTGAGCTTTACTAAATCAACTTAGACTTCGAATTGAACAACATTTGACTTATTTTTTTCAGGAGAAATGGCACCAAGATGGAAAGGAAAAGATGCAAAATCGAAAAAGGATGCAGAAGCCGAGGCACTTAAAGAACCCATGTCAAAGATTATATCGCAACTTCAGTCTTCTTTAGTTCAATCAAATGCATCTGGATTTCTCTCTGATAATTGTGTACACTTAGCAGTGCAAGCTGAACAACTTGACCTACTTGATAAAGCATGCTTTGGTCGACCTGTGAGAAACGTTGAAAAGGACACGTATTGGTTTCAATTAACCTTGGAGGAAGCATTTTACCTATGTTATTCCTTGAAATGTCTAAAGATTAACGGCGGTGCTGAATCTGGTGATTCAAATGATGATGAGCTGTGGCATTACTTCATATCCAAGAAAGAAGCATTCCCTTTCTTCTACAAGGCTTATTCTCACCTTCGAATGAAAAACTGGGCTGTAAGGTCAGGGGCTCAGTATGGTGTAGACTTCATTGTCTATCGCCACCATCCGGCTCTGGTGCATTCTGAGTACGGTGTACTTGTTGTATCACATGACAATGATGATAATCTAGATGGAAGACTGAGAGTATGGTCTGACGTTCATTGCACTACTCGACTTCTTGGAAGTGTCGCAAAAACTTTATTAGTTTTGCATGTTAATAAAAATGGTCACAGTGATGAGTCTCCATTATGTTTGGAAAACTATGCCATTGAAGAGCACACGATCTCTAGATGGAGTCCAGAACAATGTCGTGAAAGATCCATATAGATATTTCATGTTCTTGGAAGTGTTGTTAATCTGCAGGTGGCTAAATTACTCATTGTTAATTTCCAATCAATATGTAACCAATCTCTAATTAAATAATTCTTAGTTAATCCATTGCAATTCTATAGCTTATCGATAAATAACTTTTTTGCATATCAAGTTTTTTATGCTTAATTTTCACTTTTTCAGAAAGATCATATCTTAAAAAAAAAAAAGTGATTTTATTTGCAGTATATGGGTAGTCTTTTGATTAGTTCAATCCTTAGGTGGAAGTGAAAAGCAAGAGAGCATTACCAGAGAATATATTGATGAGTTGAATTCGAGATCATTTATTCAATATGTCAATAATATTGGCATCTCATGTGTGGTTAAATTACATGGTCTTGCATTTCATGTTAAATTACGTTGTAGCCATCGACTCTTTGCATACTTGGAATATACCTTGGCAAAAAAGACTCGGAATATACCTTGGCAAAAAAAGACATTTATCAATTGTTGTCCGCTTGACTGTGATTTGTTCCCATAGTCTAGAATTATGAGAATTATATTAATTCTTCTTCTCAGAGTTCTTGATACATGGTATTAATGTTTGTAATATAATTTAAGTTGTAACTCAAATTCAAGTTAGTTAAGATTAGAGTTTGTTATGGTAGTTATTTAGTATACATAGTTACATATATACACATAATTGTAATTCAGTTACATAACTTTTAATAATTACAATTCATCAATTATCTTTCATTCTCTTTTATTTCTTCTCTCAGTAAAGTGTCTCGCGTATTAACAAATTGATATCTAAAGCTTATGATTTGTGTTCTTGTTCGTGTTTTCAAGAACTTCACACGGGTGATCGTGTTTCTAGGCATTATAAATCGTAGTTGCTGCTGTCATGAGTGGAACCAATGAAATTTCAAATTCTCTTCTAATTTTTTATTGCAAAAATTGAAACCGATAGAGTAAGCAGATGAAGTCTTTGTTCGATTTTCATTAAACTCTAGAAGTGGTCAACAATGACATCCTCGAGCTTGTTGTCAATGCAAGTGACGCTTAGAGAGTCATTCGCAAGGATGCAATGAAGAAAGATTGCAAAGGCTAAGTATTGTATTCAATTTGCAGTAGTTGCGGTGAACTTTGATCGGATTTTTCATGCTGAATCAACGAAGCAGACATGAGATATTCTTGTTAAGTATTACGAAGGAGGTGAGATGGTTAAAGTCGTTGAATTGCATAAGTTGCGAAGGTAGTATAAATTACTGCATATGGGAGAAGAAGAAAAAATTGCAGGTTATGTCTCAAAGGTGCAAAATATTGTCCATCTCATAAAAGGTTATGGTGAAATCCTAAATGATAAGATGATAGTTGAGAAGATAATGTGTACGTTGACCTCTCACTTTGATCATGTTATCGTAACCATTCAAGAATTCAACAATCTTGAAACCATGAAACTGGAAGATTTGGTTGGCTCGTTGGATGCAAATGAGATGAAGATTGTCGAAGGGAAAGGTGTTCAAGATTTGATACAATCACTACATGCTCAAACATGGTGATTCCAACAAGTTCAAGGACAAAAGAGACAAGACTCAGAGTAAAAATTCTTGTTCGAACCCTCAAAAGTCTAAGGTCGATGACAGGACTTTTGGATCTTTCAAAAGAGGATAAGAAAACCCCTATCATAAAGACAAAGAAGAGAAAAAAGTGTGTAATGCGATAACTGTGACAAGTGGGGTCACTTGACAAATAATTGTTGGTTCAGGAAAGACAAGGGAGCGACAAAAGGTAAGGAGGAAGGAGCAAACCTTACACGCCAAGATTCAGATGATTATGAAGATATGGTGGTTATGACTATAGTTGCAGATGACCATGTGTTAGCTGGAATTTTTGACAGGACCAAAATCTCAACATATTAAAAGAGATTTAAAAGTTGGAAGGATGAATGTGTCATCTAAGGAAATTGAAGTATCAAGATGAGAAATGGAAATTGAAACTTAGTATTTTTTGAAATGAGATATTTCGTTCAACATTTCAACGACAACTTGGTTTAAGATTTAAACGTCAGTAAGACATGTCGACGAACAGTGTCTAGCGTGAAGAACTACCTTTCAAATCATAAAGTTTGAGTAGTTAATTTGAATAAAATGTATCATTAATACATAAAAGCTCTTTCACAATTTAATTCAAGTATAAAAATAAATACAAATTGTGTAGAATATAATTTAAATGGTAAGATATATCTCTCTTTCAATAAAGAAATTAAGTCTCTCAATTTTGATTTAGGTATAGTTTTTACAATTAATAAAAACTATAATTATATTTAAAAAATGATATATACATAGTAAAGATTTTGCAAGATCATCTATAAAAAATAATAAATAAATAACATGACATGTTAATGAGTTTAATTTGCGGGTGGGTGGATTCAAAATTACGAAGGTGTGAAAAAATGCAAGAAGGGGGGTTAAATTGTGTTGACTTTTTTTTTTCTTTTTAAACTCTTGTTCAGATTCTGAACACGAGGTATAGAATCTGATTCAATCAGAGGTAGGCATTAGATATGAAATGCAAGAAAGAATAGAGACACACAGAAATATTTTGGTTTCTCTCACAACTTGAGAGTAATCCAGTCCCCTTGTACTTACGAGAGATTTTCATTATAATCACATAAGATTACAATTTGCTCAAATCCAAAAGCAAGAAACTTCTGTCGTATCTCGGAAAATACGATCCTTCGCGAATCGCTCGTGCGCCCGCAGAAAATAGTTGAAGAGAGTCGGCACCGAAATTTATTTGTTTCAAAGAAGGAAAGAAAAAAACATCGATAAAACCCTTAAAAGAAAAAGAAGATGGTCGACACAATCATATTCGAGTTCGGAAGTTGATTACGCAAGGAAAAGATATTAACATCATTACGTCCATTGTACTCGACGAAAACTTTTTAGTAGAATTTGTGATTAAATGCTAGCTATGTTTATTGTTTTCTTCGACTAATTAGTGTGTAAGAACTAGTTGGATGAATACCCTTTTTAGATAAGTTTATTTTTTTTATATGTGAAATGTATGATTTATGAATTAGTAGTGACTAAAGTACAAGTCATGGAATATAGTTGAATTAGTGGCGGGATTTACAAAATTTTCAACAGTAAAATGACTATTTTCTAGAGAAGTTTACGGGAAAAGAATTGTTATTTTTTTTACACATTATTAATAATTTGCAATAGTTTATAACCTAAAAAAACCATAATTTAAAGAAGATATTAACTTATTAATACATATGCTGACTGAGTAATTCAACAATTGTCTTGCTGTAATGCCACATCACCAATAGTTAATGTTTTTTTCTTATAATTTAACCGAAAGAATTATATTGACTAACATAATTATTTTTAAAGAACTAAAATATAACATTTATTAGATAATAAACTTAAGTGAAATTTGAAAATAAATTAAAAGACTTTGTCACTAATTAAACATACCTTTATCATTCACAATATTTAATAAAGACACTTTAGTAATAATATCATTCTCTCATTTTTATTTATTATTATTATTTTAATATGTGTAAAATAGTTAAATGAGTTATTGTGAGACAGAGGAATAAAGTTTTAAAAAAGTTTAATGATAATATATAATTAGTGTATAAAAATATTACACATATGTTCAATCAATTTTAAAATATCAAATCCTACAACTAATTTAAAATTTACAAGTTAATCTGACATAAGTCATAACTATATCAATTGATAATATAAAAAAATTTACATACTCAATTCATCATCCATTTTGCAAGATAAAATCTTTAAATTTTTTTTACAATAATAGTAATTGAAAAACCGTTCATAAAAAAATGGAAGCGAAGTACTGCTACTAATACTAAGTGCTAAAAATTGGAAAGTGTAATCAGCAAAGCTAGTCAAAATCCAGAAATGGAAAATCCGTCACCACTCTTCATCTTCCAAATTATCTTATTCCTTCTCACCCAATCACTTCTTGCCACATCACACTCTCCAAACCCCACTCCCGTTTCCTTCTCCGTCACCGAATTCGGAGCAACCGGAGACGGTGTCCACTACGACACCTTATCAATCCAATCCACCATCGACTCATGTCCGTCCGGTCTCCCCTGCCGCGTCACCTTCCCAGCACCGGGGAAGTACCTAACAGCAACCATATTCCTAAGATCCGGCGTGATCCTAAACGTGGAGACAGGTGCCACCATCCTCGGTGGCACGAAACTGGAAGACTATCCAAAGGAGTCGTCGAGGTGGTACGTGGTACTGGCGGAGAACGCGACGGATGTTGCAATTGAAGGCGGCGGCGTGGTGGATGGACAGGCGGAGAAATTCGTTGTGAGATATAATCCGAGGAAGAATGTAATGGTGAGCTGGAATCAGACTGGGAGTTGTTTGGGTGATGAATGCAGACCTAGACTTGTTGGATTTCTTGGATGCAAAAATGTGAGAATCTTCAACATTACTCTTAATCAACCTGCTTATTGGTGGTAAGTTTTTCATATTCTCTCTTCCATCACTTGATAGGTTTAGAAAGAGCCATCTGAAGTTTTTAGAAGTCTGAGTAAGTTAGTTACTATTCAATCATCATAAAATTTACCATAAAATAGCACTTGATCAAAAAAATTACCATAATATAGCTTACTAATATACATGTGCTATTTGGAAACTTCTCAATATTTGTTTTAATTTTAAAATGATATTTATAGGTAAGCTATAATTGATTTTTTCAATAATAAATATAGTAATTGAATTAATAACTTATGTTCCATAAATATAGTTTATGAAGACCATTTTCTGAACTTAGTTTATAAATTCGTATGTTAAAACAAATCATAATTATCATTTATTCAGGAACTTATAGCTTATTTTGATAGGTTAGTTTAACTAATTTATAGTTTATCATTTTTCACTCAATTTTATCTTTGTAGTCTTAATTAAAGAAAAAACTAAAAATTAATTTTTTAAGCTAGTTCAACCGTCAATCTTATCAAACACTACAATTTCAATCAGATTATCCGATATAAACAATCACTTAGCTTATAAGTTATGAGCTATAAATTCATCCCCAATAGCTTAGTTTATACCTTTAAGTTATTTTTAAAATGTTGATACCTGAATTTATAGCTTATAAGTTATAAGCTATAAATTCATTTAATATTATTTATTTTTATTTATTTATTTTGTCTTAAAAATTAATGATTAGAATTTCATTTTAAATATTTATTTATTTAGTTTTAAAATTTAATGACTAGAATTTCATTTTAGATGTATATAAGTGAGATGTTGTAGTTTCGAATTCAAACATATGGATAAACTAAATTTAAATGGCCAACAACAATAATAGATTTTTCTTACCTAAGTCCCTTTCTCAAAAAATTGGAGGATGAAGAGATATAGAAATCTAAATGGATAGGGCCATGTAAGAATTTGATTTTAGTTTTGGGAGTAGAAGTGTAGGAATGTGATTGGGTTATGATGGGAATGAAAAGGAAATAATTGTGCACGAGAGACTTTTTCTATGTATATTAATATTGTGACTTCTTATGGTGAGCTCAGCTTCAGTTGTTGTTAGGAAATTTGGCGTTTATCTGCACGCAAAGGCAACATCATCGGTTTAGGATAAACATAAACAAAGGACAGGGTCCCATGACAAATACTGCTATTCTTATAACAGAAAAATTAAGACTATACAATGGTCCGAATAGTCCGATACGGCAAAAACTGCCGCAACAAAATGGTGTCGTAAGGAGCTGATACCGATACCATTATTCACCGTTTTTATGAAAAAGAACAAATTGGAGTTAATTCACACCGCGACAACCGCAATCAACGTTGCAACATCAGTACCAACTGATATCGCAAAAGCTGTTACGCGGCTGCGACTGTTATTTAAAACTTTAATGATTTATTTGTTTGAGCTGAATCATCATTGATCATGAACAGTGGTTTATAATAAAATTCTACATCACCTACTTTCAAGTGTGGAATTCCCATCACTTCAAAAAAATTTCAGAGTAAAGTTTTCTGTGACATTTTACTATGTAAACATTATTCTGCAAAATCTTGAATAAAGTACAATAAGTACCCTAAGAAACATACATTATACTGACTTGCAGCTTACACTTGGTGCGGAGTGAAAACATATCCGTTCGTGATATTGCAATTTATGGAGACTTGAATATACCAAACAACGACGGAATTGACATTGAGGACTCAAACAACACGGTAATCACTCGATGCCACATTGATACAGGAGATGATGCAATCTGTCCAAAGTCATCCACTGGCCCTGTTTACAATTTAACAGTCACTGATTCTTGGATACGATCCAAATCTTCTGCAATCAAACTAGGCAGTGCTAGTTGGTTTGAATTCAAGCATTTTGTCTTTGACAATATCACTATTGTTGATTCTCATAGAGGGCTTGCATTCCAGATCCGCGATGGAGGTAACTTCCTCATAAATCTTTTTACTTCAAAATTATTGCTTAGTTCTGTAAATGAATTAAGCTTTCTTGAACAGGAAATGTCGATGACATTGTCTTCTCAAACATAAATATAAGCACTAGATACTATGATCCATTATGGTGGGGTAGAGCTGAGCCTATCTATGTCACAACTTGTCCAAGAGACTCAACCTCAAAAGAGGCTTCAATCTCAAATGTCCGTTTCATCAACATCACAGCAAATTCTGAAAACGGAATCTTTCTCTCTGGTTCAAAGAGAGGATTGTTAAGAAACTTGAGCTTCATCAACATGAACATTACTTACAGAAGGTTCACCGGTTACGCTGGTGGGTTGTTGGACTATAGGCCAGGATGCCAAGAATTGGTTAAACACAAGACTGCAGGGTTTATGATGGAACACATTGAAGGTCTTGAGGTTAGAAATGTAGAAATGAGATGGGAAAATAATGAAATTGAGCAGTGGAACAATCCTATGGAGTTTAAACCGTCTACTGTGAATAACATCTATTTCTCTAATTTTAATTCTGTTTTGTATTCAAATAGTAAATCAAGTTGATGACTTTGGGTCTACATAGGGAAAAGGTTAACTTGGGCCTGGTAACAATCAATGGAATTGGGAAAAGTTGAAAAAAGGGGAGAAGCATTTGGTTTGAGCATCTAGAAAAATAATATATTGGGGATCTTACACTGTTTCATTATATACTATATGATTGCACGTTACCACTCAAAAATTTGTGATTGTAAGGCCTTCAAATGGTTTATATCAATGTGTTATTCCATTCTTTCTTTCCACACAAACATGCCTACATCCCTTTGCGATTTTGTTTCTTTTAGCAGAATGGCTTTTTTATTGATAGAATAAGATTATAAGAACATATAAAAGATAAGAGATTTGATAATAGTTTGAATATCTATTTTTCCTGTACATAATTCATTTCTTAACACTCAATTTAGTCTTTAGTTCTTAGTATAGTATGACTAGAGTAGGGCTATACATGAGTTGAGTAAACCTATCAAATCCGATCAAACCGACTTAAACCGATAAAAAAACCGTTTGTACTAGGTAAGTTGGTCAACATGATTTTTGAAAATGAAGAACCATTCAAAATAATTTGATTTCGATTAAACTCGGTTTCAACACATAAAACTCACTTAATCCATAAAATTTACTGTTAAGTATTAGATTTTTAAAAAAAACTCTTTTAATGAATTGATATATGAATTAATATTTATATTTTTATTATTGAAGTTTGGTTATATATATATATATATATATATATATATATATATATATATATATATATATATATATATATATATATATATATATATATATATATATATATATATATATATATATATATATATATATATATATATATATAATGTGTGTGTGCGCGCACGCGTGTGTGTGTATATATATATATATATATGTGCGTGTGTAGATATGTGTGTGTGTGTGTGTGTGTATGTATACACACACACGCACGCACACGCACATAGGAATGAACTAGAAATGAAGAGAGATGATAATGATCGTCTTGAATAGTGATTTTGATCTCTATTACGACGACGTAGGGTGAACCTACATGGTTAACACTTCAATGTTCAAATTAGTTTAACATTCAATATGAATAAAGTGAAATCGTAGATCGGAGATTGTGTACCTTCTCATCGCATGTGAATTATTTTTATATTTGGGTCGATTATAGCAGGTCTTTGATAGATTTGGTCTTGGCTGATTGCACATTTTAGTCGATCTAAAACAATTTCCTCCAAGGCTTTGTCGGACACTGGAGGAACAGGGCAAGCCTTAATTATCAATGGTCGCCTTTATATCGTAGTTTGGTGTAAAGTTGAGCAGAATCGCTTAGGATCCGTTTTTTGAAAAGTAATGGGGAATAAGTGCTTTTAATGTGGTTCCATCATTAAGACGTTTGTCACCCATTCCTGACATGTGCAATGACGTTGTCAGCTATGGTGTGACACCGCCCATAGAGTGCTTAAGTGCATTTGAGTTTGGTGTGTTTTCTTGCGTGGAATTGTAACTGTTGATCTTATGATATATGTTCATAGTCGGTCTTCATCCTTCAACTGCCATTGCTTATGATTAAGGTGACTTGAATATTTGAAAGCTTTTTAAACCCTTTGCTCTCAAATTTTCAGTTACTTTTCTAAAGAAACGCTTTTGTTCCCTCTTACTGAAAACATCACGAGAAATGATTCATAGTTTTGCTTAAAGTTTTCGCCTTTTTTTATTCCTCCTGCTTCATCAATCCTTTTAACAAGTTATTCTTCTACTCCTAGATTTATTTTTAGTATTTTCCACTTTTACTTGGGATGAGAAATAAAATCGTCGATTTACTGAATGACTCTGAAGTGGAAACATCCTCTAGGTCATTGAACGCCTTTGTGACAAATGTAGGCACAAGAATAAATAGTGTTCGGTTCCTTATGCCCTTCAAATATTGTCAGAAGATGAGGTACATGCAAATTTGAAAAGGAGGGAACTTGCCAAAGATTTCACTCGGGTTCGATTAAGTTTTATAGGTCGTGAGCCTAACATCGCTGAGGTGCTGAAGCGTTTGACTCTTCGACGTCGTCTGGGCACTACGATGTACGATTGGAGAGATGCAACAGTGGCCAACGCATCTTCATCTTAGAGCACTGAGACCTCCCTATATGATGTTGACATTATGATCAACAATTCTTCAGAGTGATTAGTTCTTCCGGTGCCAGAGGAGAAGAGGATATATGGTTCTCTTGATGAATGCATGGTCAGGTTCTATGAGGGCCTATTTACAAGAATAGGACTTTGGTTGCCCTTTTCTGAATTTAAGCTAGTTGTTCTTAAACATTTAAAAATTTCCCATTTTCCTAGCTTCATCCGGGATATTGGGCATATGTGAGGGTCTTACAATAATGTGGTGAGTACAAGTCTCAGAAGCCTTCTATGAAGGTGAGAAAATACTTAGAAGGGGGGGGGGGGGGGGGGTTGAATAAGTATTTTGATAAAACTTAGAAGTAAAAACTCAAGTATTTTTGTCCTGGTTCGTTGAACTCAACTACTCCAGTCCATCCTATCTAGAGTGATTTGCCTTTCTCAAACAAGGACTTAATCCACTATTTAATCAACTGATTACAATAGTAAGCACTAAGAACAACTGTTCAAAGTCTTCTCAAGAACTACTGATCCCAACTGGATCTTCTTAAGGAACTATTACAATGAAATGTAAGATTAATACAAGTGTATGAATGCTTCTAACAAGCTTTATCACAACAGTGATTTTTCACTTAATGTTAAGAACAAAAGAATAAACTCAGCAATAAGAATATTTTATGAGAGCTTGAAAGAGTTTTTATAACAGATTCATTGGTTCTTGATCACTAAAATTCTCTTGTGAAGAAGATGAGGAAGACTTGCTTTTATATGCACAGTAGTCCACAGAGTCTTGACGCTGGAGGCTGTGTACTGAAAAGGCCTGAACCTTTTTGTCTTTACATCACATGACCTTTCTTGGAAGTAGAATGCACAGAGAAATGTTTTTGGTCCGTGTTCTAGTGTCAAGCATGAAAGAGGAAAGATTCGTTGAGCCAAATCAAAAGATATCACTTCGAATTCTTCTTCAACAAGTATTTTATTTCAGCAAAATAAACATCAGAGTCTGCATGATCAGAGTCTTGGATACCCATCAGATTTTGCTGAATCAGAGTAATGCAACAAGTGTGCTTTAGCGTGTAGTTCTATCAAAGCAGAGTTTTATGAATCAGATCCTCAGTACATGCAGCGTGCAGTACTCTCAGAGTCTTCTGAAAAACTGTGCTTCTTAACTCTCATACAAGGTTCTTCAATGCTTCAGAGTCTTCAGATCTTATTAGAGTCTTCTGCTTCAGATTCTTCTGTAGCTTCTGCTTCAGATTCTTCTGTAGGCAGCGCTCAGATTCTTCTATAAGATGATTTTGACTCTTCAGAGCCTTCCATAGTTCCATGTTCAGATTAATTTGCTCTTGGATGTATATATACTTTAATTATCTACAACAAATATTCATGAACCAATTTTAGAGTATATAATTCTTTAACGCAAAATTTCATAAGAGTTATCATCAAAACATAGAGATATTACTAAGAAACAATCTGTGTTCTTACATTCTATTGGCGTATTGTTTGATCTTTTTTTTCCCGAGGCCTACTCCACCTGAATACTTTCGTAACCAAAGGCTTCTTCAGCTCCACACGGTTGTCTCTTGGCTCGACCTTTTTATCCTGGATGGGGGTGACTTTCTGAGACATTTTATCTTGGTGAAGCCTCTCATTTCTATAACTCATTTTGCTTTCTGTCATATCTCTGCTGATTCTCCTCAATATTGTCGAGTTTCATATCCGAAGTATTGGCTTAAGATTCACTTCAACAGGGATGTTAGCTCTTATTGTACCCTGTCGGGTTCTCTTTCTCTGGACGAGGTGACAATGAGGGAAGGAATGTATTTTTGGTTTCAGATACTTTATAATGTAGAAGGATTCGGCCTTGGTGAGGTTCCACTACGAAAGTGAGGAAAAGACGGATTGACACTCATTTTTCTCGAGCGTAGTTGATCTCGAGGAAATGAGGAAAGTATTGGGTGAGAGCGTAGTCTTAGAACTTTTTTTAAATGTGTGATTTCATTTTTCATTTTGTAGATAACATGGACAGAGTAAGTAAGCTGAATATGTTCAACCGCCTGATAGATGCCCAAGGTATCTAGATTGAGGTGAATATTGTAACTTCTTATTTTGCCCATACTCCTTCTCCAATTGTGCAAGCCTTGGCTTTCGTGCTCGAGGTTGATCATCTTGTGGATGTTGTACCAACTTTGATGGTGGAGGAACCTTCTTCGCCTCTGGTTTCAACCAAAAGGGCTCGGGATAAGGGACAGTCATCTCCCAGGGAAGAGGGTTTCTCCAAAGCGGACTCGTGGGCAAAGTTTAATGCTTTTAAGGAGGTGACACCCTTTATAAAGATGTCAGACATTTTTTCTTTCTAATTCCCATGCATTTCATAAGAGGCTATTACTATTGTCTGGACGTTGGATTTATACTTCATCCAAAATCTTCCTGAGGGGGGTAAGATGGAAATGGCTTTTGAGCTTGCTTATAACATGTTCAGAGTTTTTTCTATCTTATATCTCAGTTCCGTTGGGCGGGGTGATGTTCTGGATCTAGGTAGTCCCTTCAAGGAAGGTATACTTGGAAAGGGAAGGCTTAAGTTATGGAACTGAAGTGTGTCAACCTTCAGAATGAGCTTCTCGCATTACAAGAATAAGTTAAGATCTCTAACTCTTTGCAAGATGTCGTGACAACGCAGGGCTCTCCTTCTTCCTTGGAGGCCCGTGTGACTGAGCTAAAAGATGCCCTTAAAGGTGCAGAGGAGCGATATGATGTTACCTTTGCTTCTGTTAAGGAGAAGGTACACTATGTGGAAAAGTACCATAAAGACGTAGATTCCTTGAAAGCTCTCAAAGACAAGGTGGTTAGCATGATGATCTTGAACAAATTATACGGGTTGTTCTTGGAGTTTT